AAAAATATTATATGGAATTGAACGAAAATGAAAATTTGCTTGATAATTCAACTACGCTTGTTGGAGAACAATAAAAACACTACACTCAACAAGCCACCAATAAAACTCAACTGCCTAACCTATAACCAAAGTCTCCTTTTAATTTGTTTTTTTAAAAAAGCGCTTGACAAACTTGCCCCGCATGCCGAAGTTGCCCCGGTCTCCCCTATGTTCTATAATTTATTAAAAACATTATAAAACGTTTTCTGTAGATACTATATAACAAACATTATATAATTCCTACAGATTGTACAACAGTAAAAATCGATATACTGTACCTTACTATAATATACTGTCTAATGTTTAAAAAAATATTATTTGAACTTCTTTAGACAGTATAAATAAGATTATTTAATGTTCTTATACAGTATATAATGTATAATGATACATTTCAGTATATTATTATATATTGTACAACAGTGACATGCGATGATAGGGAAGCTGTGCCGGCCGATGTGTATACGATGCTTTGGTGTGTAGCATACATGAGCTAAACCGTGACAACCGTGAGGTTGGTGCTCTGTAAAGCGCAAGCGCGAATGCCTATAATCTGGTTACTTTACAACATTCAAATATTTTTGCCGTGGAAGCTTTCCCGTACTCGACAATACAACGCTTCCATTGGGAATATGCATATACGAATTTATATTCGAATATACAATAGCAATCTTATCACTGTTTATCACATGTATAGAAATTTGTAATAAAATACATAATGCGGTTATAATAAAATATTAATTTTAAGTGATTCAAAGTATGTTAAAATACAAAAATAATCGCACAATATGTACACTGGTGGCCAAGTAAAATGCAACATCTGCAATATCTAAAAGCCTACAGGTGTTGCATTTTACTTGGCCAGCAGTATATTTATATTTTAGAAAATACAAGGGAAGCGGTGCTTCCACAGCTTCCATGGACAGCAGCCACTGTTGTACAACATTATATAAGATTATATAGTACAATATAATGTATTACACAATAACCTTTGTATAAGATTATTGTGTAATATAAGAATATAATAATAAGAATATAATATATATAGAAAACTCTTTAAAACCTAGATTAATATTTTGCTTTTTAAAATATTTTTAAAGTACAGTAGAGCATCGATTATCCGACTGAATTGGGGACTCAGGTTGGTCGGATAACTGAAAAATCGGATAACCGAAAAGAATGAAAAAATTACATTATTAGTATAGTATATTATTATATCCCATGTAATTAGTATATTAGTATATCGCTATTAATTAACTTCGCGTTGAATTTTCATCGACGTTAAGCCTAACAAATTTTTTTAAAATAATAATCGTCGCTATTGTATCGTTAAAAATTATTTTTAAGTTTGAGTTTCCGTCGGATGAATAAATTATTTTTTTACAAATTAAAAGACAAAGTCATTCTAAAAATATATTTCAGACGATTACCATTTTTACATAGTGTTCTAGAACAAATTACAGACAGCTGGACCTTCCTTTTTAGGCTACACAACTGCCTATATTTAAAAAGTTCCTTAAAAAACACAAAAAAACCAATAAATATTAAGAAAGTTCTTCTTTAAAATTGGAATGGTAAATGTTACGACATCTTGGTTACTTCATCCTTGTCCATCTGGGTTTCTGGTATTCATCCGACGGAAACTCAAATATATTGTTAAAATTCGTCACCAGAGGGATACCTTGGCCTAATCTACATTTGTCAGCGCTAATCCTCAGTAGATAAAAGGAGCCAGAAACCCAGATGGACAAGGATGAAGTAACCAAGATGTCGTAAGATTTACCATTCCAATTTTAAAGAAGAACTTTCTTAATATTTATTGGTTTTTTGTGTTTTTTTAAGGAACTTTTTAAATATAGGCAGTTGTGTAGCCTAAAAAGGAAGGTCCAGCTGTCTGTAATTTGTTCTAGAACACTATGTAAAAATGGTAATCGTCTGAAATATATTTTTAGAACGACTTTGTCTTTTAATTTGTAAAAAAATATTTTTAAGTTATTTTATTGCTCACAAAACAAACAGCGACTCATAATTAGAAAATTAAGCCTCGTTTAAATACTGGCCGCCCTTCAACAGTCGAGACGTGTTGCCAGCTAAAACACGCAAAAATTTAATAAAAATAATATTAAAGTAGCCAAGACAATAGACAAATATTGTAGTGCCACATCACTAGCGGACATTTGAATTTTGCCGACTAGAACGGTCGGTTAACCGATGTGACGGTTAATCGGGGGGGACGGACAATCGATGCTCTACTGTAATTGTTAGTAGCAATTGTTAAACACTCAATATACATCTCTTGAATTATTCAATTACAAAATGTAATTCCCTTTTCATAAATATACAATTCATCATATGTCATTTTATTCAAATTGTTATTCATTTGTTTTCTTTTTTAAAGATTTATTTCCATCTAAACTATAATCTGTTACAATAACAGAAAGAAAAAAAATATATAAAATAAATCACAGGAAATACTTAAGTTATCAAGAGGTGGAAGTGAAGAATTGTCTTGTACGAATCATTTCCTTTGTTTCTTGTACACTGACTGCTTATAACTTCTGTACTTCTCCATTACATGAGAGAATAATATATAAAGAAATGGTTTCTTATCTCTTGGGAAATATTTCCTGCACTCTGACCAACAATTCCAAATACATAAATTGTTTTTCCTTGATTGTTTCTATATATATAAAAAAAATACTGTTTCTCTTCTGTACGATTAAATTTATAAAAATTCTAGTTCTTTCCCCATTTTTCTGCTTCTTTACACTCAACCTTATACATTTGAAAAATATATTTTGTGAATTATAAATATTCTAACATAGTAGACTGTTTATATGAGTTTCAATCTGAGTCTATCAGTCAAGATCCCTTGTGTATTAACTCTTATCCAGTTGTCTTCAGTAAACATTACTCCTACCTGAATATAAGGTGTTACCTAGGTGATGTAATGACGTCATTGAAATTGGATGTTTGGGTTCAGTTGTTTATGCATGCATTATGTATTCGCTGATGGATCTAAGTATATATTTGTTTAATAAGCAGAAAGGCCGTTGGCTAGGTGATAAATGTACTTTTATTTACTATTATGTAGCTGAAGAGATAGGCGTCATTAGCAAATTTTTGCTTTTATTAAATAAAAATGATAGAAAAATAGATATTTTTGGATAATTATTGTCTTAAAATAATTGTTAAAGTTTAATGTAAGATTATATACCTTTGTAGAAAGTTCGTTAAAGGAACTTTTAAGAATACAAAGACTTCTTTGTATATAATTGAAAGAGTATAAAAAAAATCAACCTGAAAATGAGAACAATAAAAAGGCGTATTGTGTCCATTTAGAAGATGTATTTTTCTTTTTATTTTTTTAGAAGTGTTAAGAGTTTGTTTGGCATTGATCTAACATCCATTATTGATCTAGTCGTGAGGCCAAACTCATCTGTCTACATTCAAAAAACATATGCATTCTTAGACAAAGCTCTAATATAAGAAGCTTCTTAATACAAAATTATATAAATTTACTTATTTAATTTTCAAAAATATATAGGCCTAATAGAATTCCTCAATTTGAATCGTAAAATCATTCAAGTTCTCTAGAAAGTCCAACAGATTTTACTGTTCTTTCTTCTTTTTGTAAATGATAAATTTGACTAAAAATAATCTTTTGATGATAAATTTTGTTGAAATTTATTAAAATATTTACCTTTCTTTTTGATTTGATGTTTTCAACTTGTCGAGCTGTGCATTCTCCGATGCTTTGACTACCCCAAAGTTCACGACCCACACGAAAATACGTGAATATCATTGAGATTATAGGAAAAATGTACGTAACAACAAAGATAAGAATGTTGTAACTAGAAAAATAATAAAAAAACATTTTTTTAATTAATTAAAGTGAATTAATTATAATTGAGATATTTACATTAATAATACAATTACAACAAAGACTTTACATGCAAGCTTTTACAAGTCAATTTTTTCCTTTAAAGATAATGTAGACTAATAATTTTTTATGCTAAAATAAATTATTGTAAATTTTATCTTAAAAATTAAAATTTCTTTAACAAATAATTGAAATTGTAATTTTAATTATAATAAATTATTTTATTGCAATTATTCCAATTATTTTACAATCACGATACAATTGAAAGTAAAGAAAAACAATTATTTAAAATAAATTTCAAAAAGTAATACAATTTTAATTAAGTTATAGTTAAGATAATTAGAATTAAAATAACTTCTAAAATTATATTAACTTAAACGATAAAAAAAAATCGTTCCTATGGTGTGAGTATGACGAATATAAAGGCCCCGTGTTTCTTTCACACGTGAATTTTTATATAATAAAAATAATTGTAATTATAATAACTTTTTAGAACATTATAATACATTAAATAATATTAAAATTAATCATAATTACAATAAGAAATTGTAATAAGTTTAAAAAAAACTCTAAAAACTAAAAAAAAAAATAAATTAAAATTATAACATATTTTCTCCAGAATGAATTTAAAAATCAGCGTAAAGTAAATGAATAATTTAAAAATATTTTTAAGATCATTTTTTTGTTATTTCTAATATACGAATATGAAGTTAAAAATTTGAAAAATATATAATATAATTAATAAAGAAAAATTTTAAATGTATTATAGAGAACTTAAGTTATACAAATAATATCACGCAAGTTACATCAAGATATTACTTTCAAGATTTAGTAAAAGAAATTAATATATTAAAAAAGTTTACTCCTACTTTACAAAATTATACTTTATACATATACTTTAAAAATTGTAAAAAAATAATAAAAATTATGACATTTTTCTCTAGAATAAATTTAAAAAAAGAAACATTAAGGATGATGCAAAAGTCAGTTAATCATTGTAAAAACTGATGAAAAAACGCAATTTACTTTAATCACGTTTCCACAAATTTTGTAAAAGAAAAATACGTTGTGTATCTAGAACAATAAATAAATAAAATACAGTTAACTAATTTTTGAGCCACCCTGTATTTCTATTTTTCTATAACGAATAGAAAATTAGCCGTAATTTTCTATTAGTAATAGTATGCGAATACAAACTTAAACTTGACATATTATCTGATATAATTAATAAAAAACTAAAAAAAAGAATGTATTATAGAGTAATGTAAGTTATATAAATGATATCACGCAAGTTACATCAAAGATATTACTTTCATGATTTAAGTAAAAAGAAATAACGTTTCTCCAAAAGGTTTACTTAGTATTGCATGCAATTACTTTTCTATATTCATGCATCTAAAAACAAAAAAAAAAGACTTTAATTTTGTTTTATAAAATTACATATTTTAACAGAAAGTTTAAAAATTCTCAACCTTTTTCATAATTCTGTACAGAATTTCAGTCACGCATGAAGTAAAAAATGTAATTATGACTTCCAATTCTTTATACAAATTGATTATTTTTATCTTGTTAGATCGATGATATATTTATATATATTTAAAGCTTTTCTTTTTCTTTATTTTTGTTTCTTTTGTAGATCGCGATCTATTAGTTGAGAGTTATATATAGTGGTAATGGATGATTGATGTTTTACAAAAATCTAGATGAGTAAATATTTCCTTTATAAATATTATTCGCGTATTAAATCCTTCAAAATCTTTAGATAATCTTTTCAGTACATATAATGAAAGGAATTTTGTTTATTTAATGCTTGAATGAATTTAATCTCTGTCGTTTTGTACTGAAGTATATATATTTATTTGAAAATTGAAGAGATTTTGAGTAATAAAACTAATCTTTTATTATTATAAATGTTTATTTTATTTTAACAATAATATGTATGTTTTATAAATAATTGTTTAAATGTATTAATTTAATGTTTTAGAGAGAAAATCGAATAATTTTCTTTTGAATGAATTGGAAGATTTTAATATTCGGTGTGTATAGGGAGGTTTTCCACCACCTGATCGTGTTTACATACGATTGTATGTAAACAACAATATTTTGAACGTATAGTTTCTGTACGTCCACATATACAAAATATGATACTGTTCTGTGAAAAAATATTTTAAACCAGATATGCACAGAGATATTGAGAAGACAAAGAAAGGGAGAAGAGGGAGGGGAAGACAAGAAGTGGGAGAGAGAAGGAAAGGAAGAAAGACGAGAGAGAGGAGAGAAGAGAGGGAGAGCGAGAGGAAGGTAGAAAAGACAAAAGAGAGAGAGAGAGAAAGAGAGAGAGAAAGCAGGGAAAGGAGAAGAGAAAGGGAATCGAAAAGAAAAGTGAAGATGGAGATAGAGAGGAAAATGACAATAGATGGGAAACAACTTTTCAGATAATTTTATAGATATTTTAAATTATATAAATTAATTCATCCTTCTCTTAATTTCGAACTTATTATCAAGAAGAAAATAGAATAATTTCTCCCAAAGTATCTTAAAAACTCAATATTTGATATATAATATGGAGCTTCTCAACCAGTAGATCGTAATTCACAAAATTATTGAATTTTGTGAATTACGATCTACTGGTTGAGAAGCTCCATATTATATATCAAATATTGAATTTAAATAATTGAATTTGTTAAATAATTTCAAAAGTGCTTCATTACTTAAAACAGATAATCGATTATAAAGGTTAAGAAGTTATGGCTACAGGCAAAGGAATTTAAATCACTTTAAAATCTTATTGAGACAATTATTCATTACAAATTTGCTAAAATATTTTTCTTTATACTTTTAATATATTTGTTTATAGCAATAATTTTTAAACATAAAGTAACTAAAAATAATATGAAGAAGTATCATTTAAACTTTGAAGGATACTTATGCGTTAGAGAATAGCATTAAGATGAGTGATTTTAGAAGAGAATGATCTTAATTAAGTACCGAACAAAACATTTTAATGGTTATTTATTGTTAGATGATAATGAATAGTTTTTAATGCAGATAACAACAGAGTCATATACTTAAAAGGGTTTCGGTGTTTTTAGATAGATGCAGAAACAATTAATAAGAGAAAGAGAAGTCAACAACAATTTGTGTCTGAGTTACAGCAAGTATTTACTTCTTATAATACTATCAACAAGGATGATAAATTGCCTATAATATCATTTCAAATTGAATTATATATTGATAATAAATGTCAAAAAGCACCAGGAAAAAAGAGGCTTCTATCTGATTTAAGATAAAAAAAAAAAAACCTTCTGGAGATCCTTAATAAAGCAATAGTTAGCTCACTTATAACTAAATTGGTGCAGATACAAATCTTCGTTCATCCTAATGGATAATTCTCATTGATCTTTGTAAAAAAAATACGGAAAAATAATAAATTGTGGCTTATTTATCTAATTATTAATAATTTTTAGGTGTTTTTTGTATATTAGACTGAGAAAAATTATTTTATTATAATAAATAATCCAAGAAAGATGCATAATAATTATTAAATGTATTGATTATGATGCAATTAAAGTATTTTTATGGTATTAATACAATTTTATTTATTAAAAACAATTTTTGTAAATTAAACAACAAATAATTTAAGGTAAATATATATATCTGATAGGAAAAAATTTATTTTATAGTCTACAGTGCACTATAATGTTAATAATGATAATATGAACGAAATTTGATTATCAGCTTTAGATTATAGTTAATTATAAATTACAACTTCTAAAATTATAACGAAAGTAACAGGACAACAATAAATTAAATATGATAATGCAATGCTTAAAAATGATACAGTCATATTCTTCAAAGTATATTATAATAGTAACTGCAGAAACAACGATTATAATTCAAGTGAAATTTGACTTATTTAAAGCTGATCATCCAAGGGATAGGTTGTCTAGATCCTAAAATGCATTATGCTACACGACAATGAGAATAGCAACGAGCAATTAATGAGCAATGCCGGGCTGCAATTTTTAACCATATTCTTAATTTAATCAATTTAAAATATATGTTCTCCATTTCAAATTATTAGTGTTTTGCTCCTGTACATCATACTTTTCCTGATAACAAAGAGTCATGTCAGTCATCTATGCATAATTTTTTCAAATTGCAGACCTATAAATTCTCAATAAATTAAACATGATAATTCGATGCTGTTTTTTTTTTACTATTGTCAATACTGTATGTCATTATATCAATAGCACTAGCAATAACAATAACATCAGTAACGGAACCAACAACATTATTTAGCTCGTTACTGTGAAACTACATACTAAATGCATATATATTCGTAACTTTTAAATTGCATCTCAGCGACAGTTAATAACATATTTAACTAATTGCTGTTTTAATTCACTTTGAAAGTTACAATATCAATCAACAAGCAGATGACTCCATTGATCCAAAAATTTAAAATATTTTAATAAAAATTAACATAATCCTGACATGTATTTTGTTAGAACGGGAGGGAGAAAAAAAATACAAAAAATTTTCAAATAATTTTATTACATTTTACCATCAAAATTGAATTTTTTTCCAACTCAAAATGATAAATAACTTTTATCATTACAAGATATATAGAGATATTATTAGATATGACATATTACATTTAGTGCAAAGTATTGTTATCAGCATTCAGTTTCAATCAATTGTCATAAAAAGAAAGCAATAAAAATTGTCTTTTCACGCTTGTCTTTCTGTCATTATATTTGACACGATGCAAGATTGTAACTTGGAAGAATCGTTCAAACGATATTATTGCACTCAGTTTATTTGAGAAAGTGTTTTGTGTAAACAACTTTCCAAGAAAATTACGTACAGAGTTGTCCAAAAGTCAATTAACCATGGCAAAGAATAAATTGCCGTTTTATTTAAGGTTTAATTATTCAAAATCTTTACAAAAATTGCTAAATTGCTTGT